TATTTATTTATTTATTTATTTATTATTTATTTATTTATTTATCTTTATTGTCATGATTTATTAAACATCTAATTCCCAGAGATAGTCTAGGCTCAAAATTAGCAAAGAAAATTTTAGACAATTAAAGCCTTGTCCTTGTGCTCAATTGGTTTATATTTTGTTTCAATGGCGATTTCACTTTTTTTTTAAATCACTAGGGTTATGTTATATGTCATGTCATGTTATATGTACTACATTGGGATTATTCAGATATCATAATACTATACTATTAGTAGACCAACCTTAGACATTCAGAGGAGATAATAACATAAGTCTCTTAGACATTAATTTTTCTTTTATAAATGAAGAACTTGGTATAGGAATAGTTATAGTTAGTGCTCATATAATAATAATACTATAATAGAATTTTAAGTAGTCAAAATAATAGAATAATAGAATTTTTGAAATCTGACTGAATTTAGAAATTATCACTTTCCATCCATGCCCAATTCACTCCACAATTCCCTTCTCATATCCATCAGGGATAAGTGATTTTCCCCACATAGTCCTCCTTTCATCTCCCTTTTCCCTTTCCTTCTCCAAGTTATTTCAGCTCTTTAAAGGAAAGTGCAGTCTCAATAATTAAAAATATGAATAGAAGTTTGAAGGAATATTTAGAGCTATAAATCCAGGATTTCTATAAACTGTTCAGATTACATAAAATATAAAAAATGTTGTATACACGACAGGAGAGGTGGATTGAATTGAGTAGGATATTTTTTAAAATATATTTTTATTGATTCAGAAAGGAAGGCAAAGGGAGAGAGAGATAGAAGCATCAATGATGAGAGAGAATCATTGATTGGCTGCCTCATTTATGCCCTACACTGGGGATCAAGGCTGAAATCCAAGCATGTGCCCAGACCAGAAATCAAACCGTGATCTCCTGGTTCATTGGTTGATGCTCAATCACTGAGCAATGCTGGCTGTGTGGACATCTATAATAATAAAAGTGTAATAGGCTAATTAGACCAGACATCCTTCCAGATGACCTTCTGGATGAAGCCGGGGCTGTCAGGGAAGCCCAGGTCCTGGGTACCTGCCGGTGACCAGAGGGAAGCCAGGGTCCCGGGTGCCTGAAAGAAGCCGGTGCTGGCAGCTGGGGGAAGGAAGGCCTACTCTTGCATGAATTTCGTGCATGGGACCTCTCGTTTTTTAATAATGGCATCTCTGAAAATACCAAAACAAAGTTATTTTGACTTCTGCTAGTATTTCTTTTGGAAACACTGCAGTAGATTAATACTAGTATTCTGTTTTGATGATGTGCCCTATTTTTCTGTGTAATAAGATGCCCCCACTTTTCCAACCTCAAATTAAGAAATCAATATTTTAAACATTTTTCTGGTTTTCCTCTTAAGGCCTTCTTCTTTTTTGGCATCTTAAAGAGTTATTCTTCCTGTTTTCTCCACTGTCTGATCATACACTCAGTGGGAGGAGGTCCAAATTGT